TTTTTTTTTTTTTGTCTTTCCCTCAAGAGGAAGGAAAGCAGGGATCAAAGCAATCCTGCAGCGCTTTGATCCCTGCTTTCCCCCTCCACTTGCTAAGCAAGCCATCCAAAGCGAAAATCTCTCTCTGCTTATGCCCCTGAGGTTCAACTGATCCATAGGGGCATAAGCAGATAGGGAACGAAAGGACAGATATAAAAGGGTTATATTCATTGCTTCGTATTTGTTGGGCTCTCTGCACCCCAAGAATATGAAGCAACAAATATCTGAGGAATCAGGGATGTATTTAATGAATATCCTGATTCATTTTATATTCGTCCCCCCCCCCAGTTGACACTATGTAGCCAATCGGTTGTGGCTATAATATTTCATCAGTTAAAACAAATGAAACTGAGAAAAATAAAATAAAAAGGTAAGCATATACTTAGGCATTGTTTTATAAAATCAGGAGGTGAGAAGTCTCTTTTAAATGTACAAGATGTGGCCTAAAACTAATTGTTGATCCCAACTAGATTAGAGCCATTGAATCAATAGGATTTATATAAATGTTGATTTATAACTCCGTAACTGATTCAACAAATCTACTTCTAGTTGGAAATAGTGATTGGATTTAGGTTCTCCTTCTCCAACTTTATTCTACAACAATCTTGTGAGGTAGATCAAGCTGACTGAGACTGGCCTAAAGTTACCCAGTGAATTCCATGGCCAATGAGGAAAGGCAATCCAAATCTCCTGAGTTGTGACCTAACAGTCTAACCATCGCACCATATCGCCTCTTAATTCCTCTTTAGTTAATTCTACCACCAATAAAATAAAATAAATATATCAAAGATCTCCTCAAATATAGGTTTTTCACTCACTACCTTACTTAGAGAAATGATTCCTTCCATAGTTTTTTTCCCCACCACTTCTACCCCTTTGAAACACCTTCTCAAAAATGACATTTCCTTTCAGTTAATTTGTTTTCAAGTAATCATTTTTTCTAATATTCTAAAGGCAAAAACAAAACATCAGTTTTCTTTTTCTTATTGTTTACCCAACTTTCCTTCAATATTTTCTGACCTTAGTAAAGAAAACACACACAAAAAAGCTATCATCCTGTCAGCCAACGTCTGTCCTGATGGCCACTAAATCTCCCCTCCCCTCCAGCCAATCCTCTTCATAGTCTTCTTGTTCTGTATCCTGTGTCAATGCTGCTACCAGAGCACCATTTGAGAAGGTTAGCCCTTTTTGAACTTCACTCCTAGAATCTCCCAGTTAGCATAGCCTTGAACATGCTGGCTTGCAGGGTGTGTGTGTGCTTGAATAGTCCAAAAAAGCCATTTTTCCAAACTTTTGTATTGGAGGCATGGGTCCTCGTTTACAGGGCTCTGATATGAACTGGTGAACAGTGCTTAGAGTTGTATAGAAATCTCAAGAAATCAAGTATGTCATGGCTCTCCTTTCGATTTTTCTTTCAGTAGACTGACATGAAATGACAAAACCATGACTTCTAAGGGATGGGTAAACGATATGGGAAAGTCCAGAGCAGTTTTTTCATCCTTTAAATGGAAGAAAATGTTAAAATAATTGTCATTACCATCATCAACAACAATATCATTATGTCATTTGTAGCTGGCCACTGAAAGGAAACATTTTAAATCAGAAAGATGGACTATCAGGGAAAGCGGAAGTGGGAATGGAATGAACGAAGAGCTGGAATCAAGTGGAGACTGCGATGATGAAGATGGATGCCAGGGTTCAGGTGACAGAAGCTACACAAAAGGTAATGTGCTTTGCATTTGTATGCACTTAGGAACTTCACAGGGGCTGTGTTTCTTTGTCCTGCTGCCCTGTTGAAATGTAGAGCAAAACCATTCTTCAGTGCGTCACGAGGAAGCCTAGTCTCCTCCTGAGTTCATGCACTCTCATAGCTGCTCCTTCCATGCAGTCAAGAAAAGGTGTTCAGAAGCTTTTGCTTTCAAATTTACTTTAGCGTAACTTCTCATGTTGTTCCAACAGTGGTCTAGCACTGACTATAGTTCATTTCAAAACATGTCCGCTTTGAACCGTGTCTTCTGCAGCTGACTTATTGGAACTAACCACGATCTGTGATGGCCATCAGAGGTGTAATTGGCCCCTCCTTCCTAGGTTTTAAGAGGCAACTGAAAACCTGATTGTTCTCCCACCTTTTTATAGTCTGTCCCTAATTAAGTAATCTTATGTCTCTCTCTTGACTGTCCATCTGCCATTAACCTCTTTGAACTTTACATGATTCCTTCGGTTATGCTTTAGAACCTTTTTTTTTCCTATTATTGTTTTAATCGTCCTTGTTATTATTGTTAATGACTTTGTTCTCCTTGTTTGCCACCCAGAGTAGAAGCCTGGTTACTAATTGGGTGGAATAAAAATTTAATAAACAAACAAACAAACCATGATGCCTCATTAAGGAAATACAGATGGCTGTGGTCAGCTAAATATGGAAGCAAATGCATCTTAACCTCTTCTTTGCTGCTGAAGAAGAGGTGAACCATTCATGTAATTCTAAAACATATTGTCTAGTGTTATGTCTGAACACGACCATTATTCAGTCTTTCACTGATGAACTGTGGCTCACCTGCAGTTTTGTCACTCCAAGTTTTGTCAGTTTTGATATTTTATTAAAAATGATCGTTCTCCTCACCCCTTACTTCTTTTTTTTGTTTGCTTGTTTTTGGCTGTTCTTCTGTAAAGACTTGTGATTTATTTCTTTTTTATCCTTTGCAGTTAACTTTGATAAAGTAAATGTGTTACTTTATGGGGTAGAACTCCTTTGTGTTTCGTTTGTGATCTCAGGTTGCTAAGCCTTGGGTGTTAATGCACTCAAATACATTATTTTTCATTTAACCTATGTTAATGTTAATTTTAATAAATATTGTGTAACAGTTTCCTTTCTATGTTTTTCAGTCAAGATGTGAAGTGCTTTAGGTAACATCTTTTCATTTCAAAGTGATGCAAAAGTTAACAGCATCCAGGTGATGCTAAGTATGTTTTAATTGACAATTAGGTTATTTATATACTATTTGTGTGCCAAAGCATACCAGCATTCTAATGTATTTCAGATACTCAGTAACTAAGAATAAAAGTATTTAAAATTTGGCTAAAAGGGAAGTGCATTAGCACAACCATAGTATATGTAATAGTATTTTTCCCCCATCCCCTAACTCTAACATGAATCAGAGATTGCGTGAAGGATTACATTTCATAACTAACCATGCAGTGATTTGGTAGGAACCATGTTTACTAAAACTGCACTTGAACACATTGCAGTGAATACTTTGGGTTTGTACCATTAAAAGCAGAAATTCCATCTTGAGAAAATTATAATGGTATTTTGTAATTAACTTTAAATACTGTTGTGTGTTTAGGCCGCTAGCTGTAAATCTGTTTGCATATCTTGGTGCAATTAAGAGAAAGAGTGGTAGTAATCCAATTGAAGGGTTCTTTGCTCTAGTAGTATGATTTCCCAACATTCAAGTAATTTTATTTTATGTCAATTTTGTATAATGCTGTAAACCTTGTTTTAGGTAAATTGACATCAATCTGTCAATGCATGTATTTCATGTCTTGAGATGCAGCTTAAGAAAGCTTGGAAGCCTAGGATCTTCCATGCATAGTAGTGACAGGAATATTTGGAGAGATTGACACACATACATTTCTTAAATATATGATGGAAAGAAGGATACAGACTTGAAGGAACTGCCATTGGGTTACATCCAACATTACATAAACAGACTCTGACCTTTGTAACAGGGATTTCCTGTCCTTTCCATTCCTTTCACCCCCATGACTAAATCTGCTTCAGAAGTTCACTTAGCATACTGCAGCAGATCTAGGGGGCACATGATGGGCTGAAGGGAGAAGGAGAATCTGGGAAGCCACTGTGTACATTCTGAAGGGCAAACCTCCTTTTTCCTATCTCTATAAAAGGTCTGCTTCTTGTCAGCCTTATAGCTGACAAATCCCATTCTACCATCTAATGGTAACCAAATTAATACACAGATGTTTACTTGCACACTTCTGCCAAAGTGCACCTTTTCAGCATCTTTCTTAAAGTCAGGAATATAAAGGTATTATCAATGCAGTTTCCTACATTTCTTAATCTCTTTCATTAAGATTTGTTAAAAGCTAGTGTTTTGTTTACAATAATTGCTAATAAGATGTTTATAGCAAGAGCAATTACTGGTTCTTAAAAGCACCGTTTAGATAATTAAGCATAGTATATGTAATTACAATGACAGAGCCAGTTGACTGTATTAGCTGGAATTCGTACAGCTGAGCAAAATGCTTTCCTCACTATTTGGGCATTTGTCAGGATTGCTACACAATGTCTGAAATCCTGTTGTACAGTTATGCAGAAGGTGTAACTTTTAGCAGCAAATAGCTGTACATCAAGAAATGTCCATAGGTGTTATGTGTTGTATGCTGAGTCATGTGGGCTCAGTAGGCAATGGCTGATGCCTATGGTGATTTCTTAATGTACATCTATTTACTGCTAAAAGTTACACCTTTTGTGGAATTATGTAACAGGATTTTGGCCAATAGTAGATGTTTCATGACAACAAAACTAGAGCCCCATTGCATGAATACATTTGCCACCTGAGTCACCAATCACTGAATAACGTTTCCTGGTCCTTGGAGCATACTAATTTTAAGAGGGTTCAAAACCAATAAAAGACTCTGTACATTGAACTCTCTGTGTCTAGCTTTAGGATCATGGTAACATTTCTGTTTCTGTTTAAAGTTTTTTGATTCTTTTACAAAAAGGTTTGAAGCTGATCACAGCAAAGTAGGTGTCTTAAAGACAAAACATGTCCTTGTTTATTGAGGCAACTGGGCTAGTTTTCTCCTGCCCCGATCCAGACACTTAATCAATTGGAACTGAACTAAGCTCTGTGGGAGCTGCTCAAAAGTAAAGACAAAACATGTCATTGCTTATTGAGGCAGCTGGGCTGGTTTTTCCTGCCCTGATCCAGACACTTAATCAACTGGAACTGAACTAAGCTCTGTGGGAGCTGCAAGGCATTAGCAGTCTGGTAATCTCCCTGCCTATGATGCACCATGCAGGGTTCCTCCAAAGAAACTACCAGGTCACTGCCTTGCAGCTCCGACATAGTTTAACCCTCCCTAGACACTTCCCCTGTCTTCATGAAGATTCACCATACTTAATGGAGTTTTTATTCTCAGCTGCAAACAGTTGAAAATGTCAGAGTGGACTTTGATTTTGCATCTGCCAGAATTCAAGCTAGTGGAATTATTGCAGTCCCATGCTTCCTTGCTACCAACCTAAACAGGCAATACTGTCTCGGTTCCAGAAGCAAGTACTGCTGTTACATTACTTGTTGCTCTATCATTAACAATTACCATTATTAATTAAAAGTGTGTGTGTGTGGTCTGTTCTATTTTTATCCTGAAAATAAGGATCCTGTGCCACTTACGCTACAACTATCTGGTCAAATGTTACAAGATTTGCTGCAGGTGTAAAATGGATGAATTTGCTTTCTTATCTAAATGAATCACATGACACAAAGGCCAATTGAAATCAGTCTGGCCATTTTTGCTCCCGACATCGAGTTTTTTCCTCTGCCACTGGGGCTTTGTCCCACATTTGCTAATCTGTGTGGTGGTTGGAGATAGAAGTGCCTCATGTCTATCTAGGTGGTGGCAGGGCCTTTATTTTCATTTTATAATGAGTATGTTGTCTCCAGGCTGTGGGAAAATGTATACAGTTGCAATAATAAATTTCATCTAAAATGAGATGTCAAGGTTTATTTAGCAGTCCTTGTCCCAGGAGAATATCTGAAGAATTTTCAAAGGAGAAGGGTGGAAGGAACTTTCCTCACAAGCTTTCTTCACAGCCTGTGACACGGCTACTATCCTGGCACCTCTTGTCAAATTTATGATGGATGCATTCAGAAATGTGGGAACTACCTGAACTCAATGTTTCTCGAACTGAATGCAAATGTTATAATCATGCACACATGACTGCCAAAGAGAAAACATGGGTTTGCACTTCTGAAACTTTTGAGTTTTTAAGGGGGACCCAACACAAAATGTGTTGCGGATTTCAGCCAACCAGCCATAGATCATTCCACCAACTACAATCTCCCAACAGTTAGTCAGCACTCCAATTTCATGGAGTACAAATAGTCATCACTGGACTGTTTTATAGTTTCTCCACCTCACCCTTTTTGGGGTTTCCCCCGCTAAATATAATTTTGATATCTGCAAAACAGGGGCCTCCCCATTCCTGATGATACAGTACCTTTCTTTTCTTTTGTGGACAATGCCATTTTGTCTGCATAAGGATCCATACTTGGGAGAATGAGTTCTTTATTGGTATATTTGATTTCTCCTCCCCATCACCTCCAATGATATACAGATGAATTAAGTTGGGAGGGGGGACCTGACATCTCCCAGCTTGATTTATATTGCATCTCAATCGCAGTTGAAAATTAATGTATTTCTCTCATTGTTCACAAATGCTATCATTAAGAGCCTTTTTCGCATGTCAGGAACCTTTTAGGCCTCATTATGTTCTTATCAGCTAACAATTCTTTGCCTCTTCTCAACATCAGCATACTGTATAAATTGGCATCTTAATCAGACTTCAGTCCCATATGCCATGTTCCCAGGTTGCATAAAGACGTGTATGTATCTAAATACATAATTGTAAAGCTGGTTAAATTGTGAAATGATTATTTCATTAATATTCAAAAAGCAGAACATCTGTTGGCAGCATGCCAC